CCACACAGGCAGATTTGTTTGGCGGATCATCATCTGTTCCCTCTGTGTGCCACTTAAACCGCCTGTTGTTATGCAAATCCGGTAATGTAGTTATGAGTGCTCTCCAGAGATTTCAAATGGCATCTAATCTGGTTAGCGCGTCCGTTCTGCAAGAGACCCGTGTAGCATATTCAGACAAAGATGAAATATTGATGTTTCGTACGTTAGACTAGAGAGAAGCTGCTTTATCCCATTCACCAAATGCTGCAACACTTTTACATGGGTTTCAGGTCAGCAGTTGCGGGGAAGAAGAGCAAACGTGTAAGTGGATAAACGGGAATAAGCACATACGAGGTATTTACGGCTTTTGACAGTACCTGCAACAGAGCTGCTGCAAGCTGCAGGCTCTCCAGCCTGTTGCGGCTGCAAGCTGCCCGTTCTGCAGCTTTGCACGGCCTCGGTCATGGCTCTGCCTTTCCTTGGATGCCGATCAAGGCAATCGGGCACCGTTGCAGCTGCTGCTTTATGGCCCTCCCGCCCGTCGCTGCCGCCCCGTTTGCTGTGCCCTGCTGCCGCTCTACCCTGAGGTCTGCTCAGAGGGCTGCGTTTTGGTGCTCGTTTGCAAATGCAGTTATTTTCTTGTAAACAACTGTTTTCTGGCACTGGCTAAGCTGAAGATAAAAATCCTCTAGGAATGTGCTACTGAGAAAGCCATTTCCTGCTGAAATGAAAAATTACAGAAAAGCCTTTCTGATCAAATGGTGCATTCATTTTGTTAGTTGAAACAAATGTTTCTGACGTTGATAATGCTGCATTAGAATTAGACTAAGGGAAATTAGCTCAAAGTATCTTATTGAAATAGAAAATTTCATTAAAAAGCTGCTATGTTTTGACTCTTTAAAAATAAATTTAAAAGGCAAATGCCTTCAACAAAGAGACGTGAGATTTTCAGTACTTTTCATATAGATGAAATGTTTTTATCAAATTAACCTTTCAACTGAAGACTATAAATACAGTGCAATTCATGGTAATGTGCATATCTGGATTTTCTCTTGCCGTGCAGAGCTCTGGTGCTCCTGGAGGGACAGGACAGGGACAGTAAGGCCTAAGCAGTGGACACCAGGGCTTCCTCAGAGCCCTTTCCAGCTTCTCCGGCCTCCAGCCATGTCCCTCCTTCCCTGCCCGCCTGCCCTTGTGATGCTCCTTGGCAGATGATGGATTTCGGGAGAACATTAGCAATTAGGAGCTGCACTCTCATCAAGGAAAAATAATTAGTGGGAATGCATGCAGTTTACAAAAGCAGTTCAATTAAAGAGAATAACAAGCTTTTTACGGCAACAAAGGAAGGACTAAGTAGACCTCAGTGAGTAAATAAAGCTGTAATCAGGGGGATTAATTTAAAATTGTGGGAAGGCAGGAATTGGATTGATATTCTGGAAGTCTAATGCGCCTTGCGAGGCCAGGAAAGAAAGCTCTGTTTTGAAGGGATGAGGAAGGCTGGTGCACGGCTCCTCTGGGGGTTCCTGTCCTGCCCGGCCGCGTTCGCGGCAGAGCTGGTGCCTGTTCCCCTCCCTGTTGGCTCCAGGCACGCACCGCCAACGGCTTGGGAATTAATTCCAGACTGGACTTTTTTGGCACTTGGATCCTTTTCTCCGGCAGGATTATTAATGATTTTCCTAATTTGAACATACTGTTGACATGAGCCCCATCTGTGAACTCCAGAGTAACTTGCACTCTCGCGCGAAGGCCAGCGAGAAAATAACCGTCCCCAAATAGCAGCGCGCTCCGAGCAGTGCCTGCGGCACGGGTGACGGACCGCAGCGATGGGGCTGTTTCAGCAGGGTCAGAGTCCAACCAGCCACCTTGCAGCAGGGCCAAGTGCTCTATCGCTGCCCTGCGTCCTGCTCGCTCGTGCTGGAGAGAGAACAGTGTTTGCATCAAGGTCCCCAAAGTTTAGATAACCTCCTTCTCCCAAGGGGGTTTTGGGGCAGGATAATGTATAGCCGGTTGCCGGTGTTTGGAATTCCATTTCCTAGAGATGAGGGTTTTATTGCCAGAGCAGCGTTTAAAGACTGCTCTCTATTTTCTTAGCTGGCTGGGAATTTACAGCTTCGAGAAAGAAAAAGAAAAGGATTTTTTTTGATAAGCAATGGGCATGATTTTTATTTATTCGTTTTGATGGAAATGCATACTGTATGAATTAGTCTCACTGGTTATAAGAAATTAGGTACTGGAAATGCCCTGCTTTTTCCTGCAGAGGTGGTTTAGCTGGAGCCTGCCCAGTGTGGCTGCAGGCCGGACTCATGTTCAACTTTTCTTTGCAAACCTGAGGGCAAAAGCATCTTTTTGGCCTCAGGTAGCATCTGTGCAGCTGTAGCACCCGGCGGGCGCGGGAGCCATCCCGGCCGCATGCGCGACACGGCAGCGCTCGGCACCGACTGGACACAGGCACGCATTGCTTTGGTTTGATTTTTTCCTAGAAATTATTTTATTTAAAATTTAAAACCATATTACTTCATACAGCAAACTGTGCACTTTGATATATCACAGTGTCTTAAAAAGGAAAATAATCAGAATTTTTTTCTTTTGTTTTTTTTTGGAAATTTTATTTACATCAGCCTAGAATGATCCGCAAGTAACACAGTTACTATGAAACCAAAATTGTTACAAAATGTTTACAAAAAACTATATTCATAGAAATTCTGCATCTCCACAAAGGAAAATCCCCTGAATGTCACGGAGACCAGTATTTTTCCTTTCTTTCCCATTCTTTTTCTTTTTTTTTTTGGATTTTTTTGTATGTTTTTTTGAGAAACCCGTCAGGAAAGGTGCAGCCAGGCCAGGGTGCTCAGCTGCGCCCCAGCTCCTCAGCACGGCCTCGGCTCCGCTCTCGTGCCCAGTGCTACCTCCTGGAGCTCCTTGGAGGGCAGAGCAGCCCTGGGGTCCCAGCTCTGCTCAGGGACACCTGACGGGACCCATGGGATTGGGGAGTAAAGGGGCTGCCCAGAGAAGCGGCAGCAGCTCTGGCACCCCCGGATAGCCATGAGCTGCTGGGCCTCGTGCCCTGCTCCTTTCGGATGGCACGGACGGCACGCGGGAGGCTTGTAATATCGGCACTCCGGGCCGTGCCGATGCCGGCACTCTGGGCTGTGCTGATACTGGCGCTCGCGGCGTCGATGCCGCGCTCCGAGCCATGCCAATGCTCCAGGCTGTGCCAGTGCTGCTCCGGGCTGCCCGCAGCAGCGCAGGGAGCTCCAGGAGCTGCCATAGGGCACAGAGTGCAGCCGGACCCTCCAGCAACCTCCTGCCCCGGCAGCCGCAGCCTGGCAACGATCGGGGTCTGCGACGAACGTCCCTAGCAGGGTCCCTAGCAGGGCCGCGGGGGTGGCCGGGACTTCGTGGCTGGTCGGCGGGCCGTGCAGGGAGGACGGGCCGCACGCGGGGCCGCTCCTGCCGGCTGGCAGCGGCTCCAGGCCTGGCAGAAAGGGAGCCATGGGACTTGTGCTGTTAATGGTGTTTGTGTAAAAACAAGAAAATTCTACCAAGAAGCGAAATGAATGCGACCTCCCCTGGTATTTTCCTCCCATGCCATTTAAAGCCATTTTGGGGCTTTGTTTGTATCTTTGCCTTGATTGTAAAAATCTGTTTTTACAAGCTTTGAAATTTGTAAGGAAACCCTAAGGTCTGCTCCCCTGGCACTCGCAGGAGATGCTTGGGGGAGCATCAGGGAGCGGGTCCGGCTTTTCCGTTTCGTGCTCTGCATGGGGACCCGTGTCCTGAGCGGCTCTGGATTCCCATGCCTGCTGCGCGGAGCAGCGCGAGCGCAGGAAGCACCGAGGCTGCGTTGCTGCTGTTAGGAATTCCAGGGTTCTGCCAGTCAGGAGCGGGACCGGGAGCCTGAAACTGGAGCTCAGCTTCTCGTTTCCCATTGCAGGAATCTGTAGAAAGGCTCTGTCCTCCACCTGTGCCACTTAAAACCTGTGTGAAAGCTGCAGGGGATATAAGCGAGCTTTATTTTTTCTCAGCAAATTATTAGGAATGTGACGCCCATTGAATTGGCAGCTTTCACCTCTCATTTTTCATGGCTTGTATGAAAAAAGGGCAAATGCCGCATCCTTTCCTTGCATATCATTGCTGGAGTCGGTGTAGGACAAACCCGCTGCTGTGTTTCAGATGGCTGCGTGGCTGCTTGTCGTTATGGAGAGACAAAATAAGGACAAACGGGGCTCCCTGATGGAAGCTCTCTCCCCTTGAGCTAATTTGCTACTTCAGGGAAAGAAACAGGTGGGGAAAGAAAATGTTACCTAGCTGTGAACAGGTTTGTCCCTTTGGGCAAAGGCAGCCGAGGGGAGGCAAACGGGGTCAGCGGCGGGGATGGGGGCGGCCCCGGCTCCGTTGCACCCTGCTCCGCGCGGGGTCTTTGGTAGCTCCTCTGCCGTGCCAGGCCTGTGCGGGGTCCCTGCGCTCCCGCAGGGGGCTGCCTGTGGTGCTGGTTCCCCAGGGCGTTCGGTCCCGCAGGGCCCCATGGCAGCTGCTCGGGGGACGTGCAGCGACGGTGGGCAAACCGCGCGGCCCTGCTTCTCTGCGGACAGGGCGCTTCTCCATCGCTGTGCGGCAGATCCTTGCTCACGTGGACATCCCTTGCTCTGTGCAGGCAATCCTTGCTCCACGCGGGTGATCCTTGCTCTGCACGGCCGATCCTGCCACCCGCGCAGGCATTCTGCCTCGGGGTCTCGTTGCCTCCGCCTGTTTCCAGGATGTAAACCTCAGGCTCGTGCTGCGGGTACGCTTAGACTCCATGAGGCTTATAGGATCAAAGCTTAAAAAAAAACAAAACAAAACAAAAAATAACCCAAAAGCCCCAAGACCCATGTTGCAGTCTATGCTTTGAAGTTCTTGCTTCAATGCCGGTGAATGATGCAGTTGTTTTAAAGGCCTTGTTCTTGAAGTGAACCAAACCAGGCTTGTTTTTCCCTTTTTTTTTTTTTTTTCTGTTTTTTTCTTTAGTTTTCAATCCGTTCTCCCCCGACGCGGAGCGCGGGCAGCAGCGGTTCCTTCCCCAGCGCCCGGCGTGGCTCCCTAGGGGAAGACGGGCGCGAGGCCGGTACCGCAGGCCATGCTGTCCTTGCCGGGCAGGCGGCGGTCGTTGAACGTGTGCATGTTGATGACGGCGTCGGCCTTCACCATGACGGGCGCCGGGGGCTTGTGCTTGACGCGCCGCTGGCAGGTGAGCGCCAGGCGCAGCTCCGAGGCCACGGCGCTGCAGAAGGAGCGCTGCGGGAGAGGAGCCGGCCGCTGCTGCGGGAGCCGTCCTGCCCGCTGGGCACCGCGCTGAGACGGCCTCCGCACAGCGTGCCCCGAGGTGCCGCCTCCCCACAGCTCCCACTGCTTCCCAACAGCCCCGGTCACCTCCCAGCTGCTCCAGTTACCTCCCAGCAGCTCCCACCACCTACCAACAGCTCTGGTCATCTCCCAGCAGCTCCCATCACCTCCTGTTGCCTCCCAGCAGCTCCCACTGCTTCCCAAGAGCTCAGACCTCCCCTAGCAGCTCCCACCACCTTCCCGCAGCTCCCACCGCCTCCCAGCATCTCCCTGCCCTCTGGACTCCCAACAGGGAGCTCGGGAAGCCCGGGCTGGCAGCGCTGCAGGGTGCGCAGGCAGCCGGTACCTGCTCCCGCTCGGCCGTCTTGCGCAGCTTGTAGATGAATTCGACCATGGCCACGAGGACAGAGAGCACGAGGCCTGCGGCCAGCACGATGAAAATGCCGCCGATATTCTGGATGCCCAGGGCACTGGCCTCCTTGCTCTCATCCTCAGGGCAGCCGTTGCCGCGCCACCACTTCTCCTTCATCACGTGCAGCTTGTCCTCCTCCTGCAGCTGCAGGATGGCGATGGTGATCTTGTCCCTGTAGGGCGACCCTGCGGAGACCAGCGCAAGGGTCACCCCAAAGGGTCACCACGGGAAGCGCCCTCGGGAGGGGATGATGGATCGTGTCCCCGTGCCCTGCTCACCCATGGGAGTGCCGATCCCATAGCCCTTGGTGTCGATGAGCCCCCCGATCTGCGTCAGGTTGCAGTTCCTCTGCGTGATGTATTCGATGGTGGTGGACTCCATGAGCAGCGCGTAGTCGGCCGTCAGCGTGCGCTGGATTCCTTCCTCGTTATTTTTCACGAGTGCCGTGGGTTTGCTGCTCATGAAAGCCCACATTTTTTCAAAGGTGGAAATTTTGGATTTCTAGAAAAACAATAACCCCACACCCAAAATAAGAATTAATCTTCTTATTGCTGCAAGAAGCCCAACACCTAATATCTTTGTAGTAAATAAGAAATGTCTGTTTGAGAATAGTTCTCGCGTACAATGAAACTATTACCACTTTGACTGTGGCTTAAATATCTCCCTGCTGGCCTGCCCAGTGCTGTTTGGCACCAGCCTGCCCTAACAGGAGCAGACGATCCCATGGCAGTTCATGTTGTGCCAACACCGAGCAAAAACACGGGACTGCTCCAGAGACCTCATAGTTTAAGCAAAAAATACATCTGCCTCCATAAGGTGCAGCAAGACCCTGCCTTGATGCCCTGCAGAACTTGCTGGAGTGACAGTCCATCCGTAAATCTGCTTCAACTTATTAGTTTCCTACTCAGGCTTTTGTTTATCCTGTGGTGCTTCTGCACAATGAAAGAAGACAGAGAACATTTCGCAGGGCATGTTTTTCTTCTTTGCGCACCCTAGATTATATTTTTGTCTATCCTCCCAGCCTCACAAGGAAACATGTCTCCTCTGAGATATGTGCAACTGCCAAACAAATTTAACATATCCACGTAAACAGAGGCATGGAAATGTTCGAGAAGATTTTGTTACCGCTAAAAATAACCCTGGATATTCTTCCACTATCAGCAGTGTATTGGAAAGAGTGGAACATGTTTTCTGGGTTGCTATTAATATGAATGCTTTTTTCATTTTTCATTAGAAATGTTCATTTTTCATCAGGAAATTTCATTTTTCATTAGGAGTGCGTTGGGTGGGATGCTGCAGAGCCGCGCTGTTTCTTTCCATGATGTGTTGAATACCGAGCTCTGCGCGTGCCGGCCCGGAGATGCCACCCGCGTGGACTCTGGGAGGAACTGGCCCTGTAGCTCCCCAAATCCCGCTGCTTTCCCGACCGAGGGCGGCCCCTCTGCACGCGCTGGCATTGGTGGCAGTGCCAGCCCTGCCGCTCTTGCACATAAACCAAAAAGCAGCCGACCTCAGCTGCAGTTACATCTGCTGCCCTTTATTTGGGTATCGCCTGTACAATGCCATCAGAGTATCTTTATGATTAAAATCACTCTATAATGCATGCTAAATTAACTAAGAGATAGATATAAAATGTAAGATCCCTAATAGTATTTTGTATTTGAAATGCTTTGCCTGTCCTCCTCCGTTTTCTATGTGTTCAGTGGAAGGTGAGCCGCTTTTTGGCAGCTGCCAGGTAGCGATTTCGGTCTGTATTGTGCAGTAACAAGGGCTCTTTCTCTGTCTGTAACGCGGCCGGCTCCAGCTCCTGCCTCAGATATCCGTGGCCTTATTTCTTCTTGGTTGAAATTCACGCTTGCTCTAATCCGCTTGATGAACTTGCTGGGGTGGAGGTGCTGGAGCCAGCACCGTTCGGGAGGCCGGATAATCCCCCGCGCTTGAAAATCCGCCCCGGTGCCTGCGAGGTAGATTTGTGGCATCCATCAAACCTCAAAGAGCAGCAAGAAAAGTAGCCTCCAAAGGGATTATTAAATATCTGTACATTACGGTGGGTAATTGAAATGAGTAACGTACTGGACTTGCCGATAACGACTTGTTTAACATTTATATAGTTCACATGAGAGGCCGAGTTCAGCGGCTCTCCTGGCTCTCGGAGCTCCTTGGTGTTGACACAGAGCTCTTAAACAACATCAGCGTTCCCCCAGTTTAAAGCATACAGCAAAATAAACTGGCAAAAAATCGATAGGCTGCATTTAGTGAAGCTAATAGGACTTGCATGAGCTCTTCAGGCAGCTTGAATTACACGAGACAGGGCTCCTGGAAGGGAAAGGCATTTTTCTCTTCTTGAGTCGCGCTCCTGCCTGTCTGAGCGGGTGTTTGGGAGGCCGGGGTGCCCCGTGCCCGTGCGGCTCCCGCTGCCAGGGCTCTCACAGCACTCTGGGACCTGCTGCCTGCTCCCGGGGGTTTATTCCACTGAGTCTCGTGAGCCGGGATAGCAGCACTCTCGTTGCTTTGGCTGCTTGCTAAAGGTCTGATCGACCTTTACGGATCGGCGCCGTCCTGCGCCCCGTCCTGCCACGGCCCTGGCGCAAGCTAAGGAGCCGCTCGCTCCTGAGGAGCCCCTTGTCCCCGCAGCCTGCAAGTCTGAGCTCCCTTCCCACCTCTCGAGTGCTGCAGCTCCCGTCGCTCCGGGGCTGTTTATATGGGACACTCCAGGGGGGCTGGATGGTGCTGCCTTAGAACGTGCAACTGGATGGAGCAAAAACTTATTAGCCACTGAGATCTGCCCAGTGGAAATTAGTGGCAGAGTACGTGCGTAATGGGCGTTATTTTGCTTCATCTTCATCCTCTCTGATTTTATATGTTCAGTAACTTATGGATCCGGAGATGGCTGTGCCCGCTGCTCACAGCGCTGCGCGGGGTGCTGTGTCCCGCCCTGGAGCCGCTCGGCTCAGGGGACGCTGCCCGAGTTGGAGCTTGGAAGCTGCCTTTAAAACCCGGCATTTCAAGAGCACTCACCCAAATAAATTAATGGAATAGTTTAGAGGAGCCAATGGAAGGCACCTTGCCAAGACACATACGCTTTTTATCAGCAGAATTGGCAAGAAAGTAACTTATGGGCTGGCGGTTTTCAATTCCAGGCTCTGCGAGAAAATTGATTTTCACCAACTGAAGATACTTCCTTGCGAGGATTTAGCGTTTCTGTGTGAGTGGATATCTATGTGCACACATGCCCACACCCATGCTGCAAACTACGTGTTAAGCCTAGTCTTTGTTAGGGAGAGGCAGCATCCTTTGGAAGACCGGAAAGGTTTTTGGCCTGATCCATGATGGGGCTAGGTGCTCTTCTGAAATTAATCCATCTGCACTTGTTCTTGTAACCCAACCTGTGTTCCCGGGGAAAAAGCAGCTTCTCCTGCGCTCTTGTGATTCCCTTTACATGAAGGACAAATGAACAGAGCATCCCCAGGAGTGCACTCGCTGCTCCAGTAATTGAAACGCTTGTCAGGAGGGACATCCCTGGTAATTCATCTCTGGACAACAATAATAATAAAAAAAAAAAAAAAAAAAAAAAAAGGAAAATGCACTGCATAAATAAACTCTACCAAATGCCTCTTAGAAGCCTGAAGAATGGCTCTGATGGAGAATGACATGAAGCAATAAAGATACCGTGTCCTTGATGATGCAGAAAAAGAGATAGTTTTGTTTTAATCCATATAAAACTGTTGCTGGAAAGAGTAGTTAAATTGCGACAGGAACCGTCGGTCTCCCAGTAGCCGTTCTGGGCTGGTGCTGCTTTTGGAGGGTGATCCGGCTGCGCCTGCCCACACCAAGGATGGAATTGCATGTACCAGCTCCATTGTAAGAGCAAGCTAATCAGCGGCAGCCTGCTAGTCCATGCCGCATCTGCATTTCCCAGGATTAATTAAATCAAAACCAAACAAAATCTCCCATGTTTCCTTACCGATCTCTGTTACTGCCCATCAAAACAAGCCTGAGGATTTGGGAAGAGTAATGGCTCTATAGCCAAGTCACAGCCAAGAAAAGTTACAGATCTGCGGAAAAGCACCGCGCTCTTTCTTGTTGTCAGCACCCAGCACGTTGGCTCTTGTTAACGAGCCTTGTCAATTAAACTGTTGCCTGCCTAACGTGGCTCCAATTACAGTGCAACTGCTGACCCGTTGTGCTGCTGCAGCACCAGGCTGCTCTGCAGAGCGGGATGCTCCGTCCCACTGCGCCGGGGCGGCTGCGGCTGGCGCTTCCCGCGGCCCCTTCCAGGGCCTTGTGGAGGAAGGTTTCAAAATTCCAGTTTTGGATTTAGATTCCCCTCCAGGCCTCCTTTTTGCCACCATGGTTGTTCCTTAGATTAATCGCCCTCATTTCTATTCCTTCGTTCTCCTGCCCTTTTTTAACGGGTGTTTTTACAGCTCCGCTGTGGTTTCAAAGGTCTCGCCACGTCTCTCGGTTTCTCCTCCTGTTTGCAGCAATAGGGAGTGCGAAGCCCCCATCGAGTCCCGGGAGCAGGATCGGGTTTGGACCTGGCACCTCGTCCTGGCCTCTGCGATTCCCTGTGCCCCAACCCTCGTGTCCCTGGCACCCGTGTCCCCGGCACTGCCCTTCCCAGTGTGCTCCAGGCACACAGCGGGAAGCCACTCGCTCCTCCTCTCTTCTGCTCCACGTTCCAGTCTCTGCCATCTCTTTGGTTCTGAGTAACTCGGGTAGGTCTGTTCTCCGTTATGTTTGAACATAAGTAACTTTTCCCCTCAAATTATTTCTGCTAATTAAGCTCTAGTTTATAAGGGACGTAATTCTATGTACGTGTAATCCTAGTAGCAATACAAGATCATTCGTTTTAATTATCGGTGCTAACAAATGCCAGACAAGCCCCATATCAAAGGAGACAGATAATGACCAAAGAGTGAATAGAAACAATGGGGGAAAAAAGAATAAAACCGGCAGCCTCTCGGTGTGCAAGGCTTGCCTCTTCCCAGCAGCTCTGAGAGAACACCAGCGTGAGCAAAAAATAATCTGAGTGCCTCGTTGGCGCCTGCTGCTTTTTTAATCGGCGTTATCCAGCGTGGGTTTGGTTTCTTCTTTGAACAGTGCTGCTTAATAAAGCCCAGTGACATTACTGCAAATACCTGAAGGAAAAGAAGGGTATTTTCACCTGTAAAACAACCCCCCAGACCAAGCGCTGGCCGGGAGCGCATGCTGCGGCTGGGCTGGAGCTTGCGTTGCAGCCTGGGGTTGTCCCTGTCCATAGGTGCTGCTGTCCCCTGCATGGGGTGTTGCTGGCACCTGGGGCCCTGTACACGGTGCTGCGCTGTGCTCAGCTTAGCCGAGCCGGTGCTGGGTACAGCAGGCTGCAAACGCAGCACCACTGCAGAGGCTCCCGCCGGGACATGGGGAAGGACTCCGCATGGGAGCGGGGTGTAGGGAAGCGCCCCATGTTGGGCATGGATCCCAGGCTCGGCTCCTTGCCCTGCTTGGCCAGGGAGGCACAAAGCCCGTGCGGCCGCTCACCTTGAAGAAGGTCATGGTAGCTCCGTCCTTCACTGCTCCATACTCTATTTTTGTCTGCTTGGCCAAGTCATCTGCCGAGTCGATGGGGGACTCCATCCTCTCCACCGTCAGGAAGGCGGCGAGGTTGGCCGTGTAGGACGAGATGATAATTAGGGTGAAGAACCACCATATGCCACCAATGATCCGTGTAGATAGCGCCTTGGGCATCAGCTCCGAGCCTGCGGTGGGAGAGGGATGGAAAAGGAAACAGAAACGATCTATATTTTATGTGCATGTGTTCATTATATAGATACACATTCATATATAGAAATATATATTCAAGGACTAGGTTTCACTTTCAAGCTGTAACAGCTACACAGTTAAAGCCAACTGTTTTAGAGGGAAATTATCCAGACATCTTGCACGTAAGGAAATCAAGGTTTTTTTTTTTTTGTAGCATTTGTGGAAAAAGCTTCTCCCTTTATTGCCGACCTTGGGTACGGTGCACAATTTACAGGAAACGTTCAAACTGGAGTAATTAACTAGCTTGCTTTTATGAGATTTAAATAGCAAGCCATTTATGAACTTTTATGAGTGTTTTGTTCTGCCATTTAAAAAGTGCTTTGGTTTTTTATGGATTACTTTTCAAAGGAATGACTCTAGGGATTGTGTTCAAATACACAAGGTTTAAAACAGAAAATCAAACAGTGAGAGAAAGGAACTATCAGGGTCCAGTACTTTGAATAGCGGTTGGAAGCAGGAAAGCAGGAGATGTTGCAGCATAAAAGGTGTAACAGGTCTGGAATGACTTTTACTGAGCAGACATGAAGGGCTAAATGGGCTGTGCTATTTTTGTAATCACCCAAGATACTTTTTCAAGCCAAGAAAGTGCTTTGAGTTTGAAACAACTGCATTCAGAGTATATATCCAACCTGGAATTTGCAACGAAGATTGGTTTTGCAAAGCAATTTTAAACAGCATGGCATCAAAGCATAGCACGGAGTGGAGCTTTTCTCCGGTCCGAGCGCGATGAGGAGGCAGAGCAGCTGTGCTGGATTTGGAGATTTTTCTGTGCTCCTTTCCCATTCCGCCTCTTGCCCTTTGATGCACGGGAAGGTGGGACATCAGGCTGGCTTTGAAAGATTCCTCCTCTTACATGCAGAGGGGAGTTGCAAAGCGTGCAGCTCGTTTCATTTATCAGCATCTAATAAGGGGATGATTCATCCTGCCAAACCGCCTTGCTGGGCCCTGCCGCTGTCTGCGGGGACAGCTGAGGGCTGGGCAGGATGTTGGTGAATCTCCCGGCGGAGCCGGCCGGGAGAGGGGGCTGCCGAGCCTGCGCTCCCCTGTCTGCAGCCGCCGCTACAGGGTGGAATTAGCGTGACAAACGTTTGACATTTTCCGCTTATTGCTGCTCCTGAATTTTCTGTAATTAGATCACAGTTGAATTTATTCTGTGTTCAGAGTTGCTTGCTAGTTCACCCCCTGCTCCTTTCCCAGCAAATCTACTCCGTTCCCTTGGCGTGTCTGGTTCCTGCGCTTTCTATCGCTGGCGTGTCCTACAGCAGTGACCCTTGGGCGAGGGCTGCAGCCTGGCTCCTGGTGGAGCTTGTTTAACACGGAGCGAGCCAGGAAGGAGGCGTTGGGAAGTGTCCTTGGGCAGTGTCCTTGGGCCATGTCCCCAGGCTCCGGGGTGGCCGCGTCACGGTGGCACCTGCCCCATGTCCATGGGACACGCTGATCCCACTCGGTGCTTGATCCCTGACGCCGGGAAGGCACCAAGTAAAGGCAGGTGCCTCAGGAAGGCCGGAGGAGGCTCATTGCCCATTGCCTCGGCTGTCCAGGGCGACCGCAGGCTTTGCGGAGGGGCTTGCTCCCGGCCTCTCTCCGGGACGGAGGCTCTCGAACGAACTGTCAGGAACGAAACCTAGACCTGGAAAGCAACAAGGAAAGATGCGTGCGGGGCGAGGTGGGGAGGCAGGCACCGTACCTTGCTGCATCAGTGCTCCCATGCCGAACCAGAAGCTGTTGAGCAGGGTGAAGTTGTTCTCCACCACGTCAGAGCCCGGGTTGCAGGGGTGCGCGTCGTACCACTCGTAGGGGCTGAACCTGCAGCGGCACACGGACAGCGAGAGCCCGTCAGTCACAGCTGGTACCGTCCCTCGCCCCGGGACGCAACAGCACCGCGATGCAGGAAAACGGACCCTTTCCACTGACCAAGAAGGCATTGCAACCCTAGCTAAGCCAAAGCCCAGAATTTCTGGGCACTCTTCCATAGCGCACAGGGATCCATGCAAGATTCCGCTAGTGAGGAGCGGATATTTCCACCGCTACAGGCACCGTGCACAGCGTCCCGCACAGGCTAGTCCTGGCACCTGGGGTAGCTCTTTTCCCGAGCTCCCAGAGAGCTCTGGAGCTCCTGGGTCAGCCCGAGAGAGCTTTCTGTGATCATCTCTGCCATTGCTGCCCAAGGTAAGGAGGCCTCTAGTGCAGCTTGTTTTGCTGGGATCTGGGGCGGGTGCTTGACAGGAGAGAAGCTAATGGATTTAGAGCCATTTGTTTATGTTTTCTAGGAATCCTAATTTTTGCAGAGACTAAATTAAAAACCTAATTGTCATAATTGCTTTTGAACCAGGCATTAATTATCATCTCTACTTCCTTGTGAAATGCCTGTAGCTCCACAACAGCCCTCTTTTGAAGCCCAGCCCACAGCTGGCACTGGGAGGTGGTTCTCTCATTCTGTGCCAGGCTTCCTGCTATGGCAGGAGCTCTCGTGTCCTCCACATCGCGGGAGTCCTCAGGCAGGCAGATGCACTGGGGGAAAGAGCAGAGCCCCTCCTGCCTCCCGCTGCCTCTTACAGGGAGAAGAATCAGAAGGGGAAACCAAGGGGGAGGAAGAACTGGAGCTTCATGTCTGCCCACTCCTGGGTTTGTGCCGGAGCCGTGTGGAAGGTGGAATTGGGGAGACGAACCGAGCCTGACGTGGGGACACGCGGAGGGCTGCGAGTGAGGAGCTGCACGAGCTGCTGGGCAAGCCGCGGGCAGAGGCCGAGGCCTCGGGGCCCGGAAGGCTGGGCACAAGGCACTTCTGAGCCTGAAGTGCCTCTCCAGAGAAGGCCCTTATGGATGAACAAGGGCTTGTTGTGACCAAAATGCCTGTCAAGGCCGCCGGCGCCCCAGGCACCAGTGGCAGGCCGTGGTTTGAAGATGGAGCTGGGCCGGCAGGTGACGACGCCAGCAAAGCACAGGCTGTCCCGCAACACCCTCTTCATTTGCTGCTTTCCGGGGCTGCCGCAGTGGGGAGCGGAGCCCATCGACATGCAGGAAGGGGCGATCCAAGAGGAGACCATTCAGGATCATCCTTTGGCTGAAGGACAAGCCAAAGGTACAAGCTGAAACCCAGGCAGCTCCATCTCCACGTGAGGAAGAACTTCTGCCCTGTGAGGGTGCCCGAGCCCTGGCACAGGCTGCCCGGGGAGGCTGGGGAGGCTCCTTCCCTGGAGATCTTCAAACTCACCTGGATGTGCCCGGGTGCCCCGTGCTCCGGGTGTCCCTGCAGGAGCAGGTTGGGCTGGATGATCCCTAGAGGTCCCTTCCAACCTCAGCCATCCTGTAATTCTGTGCAATTCTGTGATTCTCCCCAGGTCTGAGCTGTGCCGGTCCTGCGGGAGTCATGAGCACGGGGTGTTTCCATCACGCTGAACGCTGTTAATATAACCTGTATTTTCCTGGGGAAATCTCTTGCTCAGTGGGTAAAGGATCGCTCTTGCACAGCCTTAATTACGCTGAATATTTAAGGGAATATGTGAAGGCAGGAGGAATGGCAGGAGCAAATCACAATAGTTAGAAAATGAAAGAAAAAGAAACTGTAATTGCATTTTTTCAGCAAAAATGTAGCCTGATAGGAAAAAGAAAACTTGCTCCATTACATTGCAACTGCCATGATGTAACTAGGACATCAATTTTGCCACAGAACAGCTCGTTTTATCAGCGTGCAAAAGAGTGAAAGAAGCTGACAACTGGGAGATGAATGCTAGGATAAAAATGGAGGCAGGAAGGAGTGGGCATCGGCATCCTGGTCGGGATGGAGCCGGAGAGGCGGAATTCGCCTCGGCACTTGGCTTCCTGCCGTGTGGCCCTGCCGGGGCTCAGGATGGATCCCCATGGGGATCCCGGGATCCCGTTGCCCATGTCCAGTCTCAGCTGCTCGGTGTCCATGGGCCCCTCTTTCCCCGGCTCTCCCCGGGTTGATCCTGGCGCTTCCTCTCGTGCCTCTGCTCTGCATTCCCTGTGGGACCCGTCATGTTTGGGTTTCAGCTGGTATTGGATCTGGGCTGGCTTCGGTCCTCCTAAGAGCTGGATAAAACGACCCCATAGCAGTGAGGCTGTGTCTGAGCAGCCCAGCACCTTACAGCCTTATGGCCACTGCATGTTGTGGCAGCGGATCCCATCCGACCATGTCCCGCTTGGTCTGGAAAGGACAACTAAAGGCGGAGGGCAGAGAAGCCGCTTGCTGAAGGGTTTCCATTGGAACACGACGTGTGTCCTGCAGAAGGACTGCAACGCCTCGTGCCAGCGGGAACCAAGTGCCTCGTTCTGCCTTTGTGAGGCTTGAGTGGCATCCTCAGAGTAGCCTGGACCCTGCGTCTCATCAAAGGCTTGATGAACTTAATAGCGCGTGCAAATGTATGCAAATGAGGCTACTTTTAAATATAGAGGTTTTAAACACGCTAATTAGATGCGTGTTAATTTCTGTAAACAGCCATGTTGTTAGGAGCACAGCAGTGAGTTCCCTTCCGATCCACAGGGAGCTTCACTTGGGCGGAATTGGGGCTGGGAGCCGGGAATGTGGAGGGTCGAGGAGAGCCGCGTGTCCCAGAGCCGGCCGGGAGCAGCAGGGAGCAAGCGGAGCGCCGACCATGGCGGACGATGCACGGCAGGACAGCGAGGGGCCCGCGACCCTTCACCACGCCAGGGAGGTGCCGGTGCATTGGAAAGGCAACAGACTTGCTGAAGCCATGGAAAGAAAAGCACTTTTCTAATTCCTTTTGCTGCTGAACCAACCCTTAATTTGTGGAAATGCAAAACTGCTCTCCAGCAAAGTAGGGCAAAGGCTCAGGCTAGCAGTGAAGAGCCCCCATTTCCCCCGTGCGTAGCCCACCTTTGGTTTTCACTACAGGGTTTCTTTCACCTCTGCAGCCGCTCTGCGATCTGGATCGTGTGCTCAGCAGCCTGCTGCCCTCTGGCAAAATCTATTTCAGAATCTTTGTTTCCATTTAAAAGGGAGGTGGTTGTGCCGAGGCCTTAAAATAACAGCCCTCGCGCAGAGCAAGCTCCGAGCACGGAGCCCTGTGCCGGAACTGCTGGCCCGGCCTAAGAAAGACCCTGTTCCCAGAGCGGAGCGTCCTGTGTGCGGAGCACGCAAGGGCACCTGGCCAGGCACCTTGTCCTGCCATCCTCATCATCCTCCCAGCAGCCTCCCCGTGAGCCCAGCCCGGAGCACAACCCACCGGGCGGGAGATGCACCCGGTCTCCGACCGCAAACCTGGACGATGCCTGGACGGTGCTCACAGTAGCCTCATTGATTTCAATGCCCGCTGTACAACCTGAGCACAGGAGGGTCTGAACGAGACCCGATTTAGCTCAATACTCGCAGAGCAACACCACGCTTGAGCAAAAAAAGCCATTTGCGCTCTCTGCAAATCACAAAAAGCCGCGAGAAGCTGCTTCACCCCTGGTTTTGATGGTGCCTCTGCAGGCAGGGAAGGAGCAGAGCAGGGGCTGGCAGCCGCGAGCCGCCCCACGCGAGCAGCCCTTGGGTAATGGACCAAGAATAATTTCATTAAGCGGCCGGTTGGAAGCGGCAGTTCCCGCTGGGCGTGAGGTGCCGGCAGCGCTGCGGCAGCCGGCGCCGGCCCCGCGCCCGGCCCTCACCTGGCTATAACGAAGAGCACGCAGCTGACGCCCAGGTAGGCCAGCAGGATGTACATCCAGATGTCGGGAGACAGGGGGTTGAGGAAGGAGAACACGCTGGGGTTGGTCCCGTTGGGCTTGCGGTAGAGAATGCTGACGCCCAGCGTCATGAAGGGCTTGGAGAAGTCGATGGCTTTCTCCCGAACGTGGGTAATGGTGAGCGGGGCGACAGCCAGATCCGCTTTCTGGGCAGCAGCACCGGGCAGGAGCCACGGGGAGAGAGAAGGAAAGAAGGAAAGAAGCAGTTAGGAGTGGGGCATTGGCAGTGACAGGAACCCTCTGCATCCTGTGGGGAGCTGCACCTCGCGCCTGGCACGGGAGCTCCAGGCGGAGTGTTCCCGAGGCAGGAGCCAGGGAACCGGGAGCCTTCCCGTGCAGGCCAGGCCGCTGGAGCAGCCCTGCCATCTGCCCCGGGCGCGTGGCCCATTCCCGCCTCTCACTGGACTCTTCCCCAGGCTTGGGGAGCATCCAAGTGCTGCATGCGCAGCCAGGCGCATACAGAGCGCGCGGCACCCGCAGAGCCGCCGCCAGCCGCACCACTGCCCTGCACCACCCGAGGAGGTCGATGCGTCAGGGCTGCGAGTGGCAGCTGCTCTGCCTGCGCCTCCCAGTCGCCCTTTTGCTGTCCCTGCCCTCTGAGCAAACGCGGGCTCAGAAATGATACTGCTGACGTTGAGCTGAGCTCCCCCGGCTGCAGGTGCTTCACAAACCCGTGCAAGATTTATTTAACATCTGGTTCTGAAAATTAAAATACTAAATTAACCATGGGAGATAATTACCTAGAGATATAGTGGATTTGTCTTTACTTGCAACCTTTAAATCAATATTAGCTGTCTTGCTAGAATATGCTTTACTCGAACAGAAATTAGAGGTTACTGTAGAAACTGGTGAAGATTTGTGGCCTGCGCTGGGGAGGAATGTCAGACTGACCATCTTTCTTTTGACATTAAAAATCTGTGAAGAAAGTCAGTGGAATACTTTTAAATAGAGGAATTTGATTGCCTTTTTTCTTTTCTTTCTTTTTTTTTTCTATAGCAAGAGCTTCTACAAGAGCTTTTATCCGTAGCATATAAAAATAATGGTTCTCTTCTCCTAATAACACAGTTTTAGAGGTCTTAAAGGGAAGAATTTCAAGAATATTCTAACAAGGGCAAAAATATGTATTTTCTTTTAATGTGGTTAAGTTGAGCTGTGGCTGCTTGAATGTTCCCAACCCTTTCTTTGTCACTCTCCAAATGAAAATAGAATTATATTTTTGCATCAGCTTGGTACAGAAAGTGCCCATTTGAATTGCTGGCATTTGTCACAACGTAGAGAAAATAGAAAGACGATTTTCCCAGCGAGATGGTTGGTGCCAGCTGCGGCAAGGGTGACCTTGGTGACGACCGAGGACACTTAGTGCTGACTGTCCGGCTCGAGACGGCGAGTCCTAGCTCGGGAGCAGAGCCTGCGTCTCCTCGTGTCTGTGGGGAGGCAGGGAGCAGCTGCCTGGGCAGCTCAGGCTCCGGGCAAGCTAGAGGAAACCTGGCAATTTTGGCTGGTGGGCGTTAAGGTTGCAGTGCAGAGGTGGCCAAAGGCGGGCAGGACCTGAGCGCCAGCTGATCTTCTCCCTGCCCACGTGTCCTGGCTCTGACTGGGGCCTCCATGAGGCTCCCAAGGGTCTGGCTGCTCGTTTTGCTGAAAAAGTAAATAAATGAACAGTTACGCGGCGGTAACCGCTTCTGTGAAAAATCCTGAGCCAAATGTGCTGCGATGATATAGAGAGCTAAATAACAGGTAGGAATGTATGCTTTAACACTGAAAGCGAAGAGAAAGATCTGCATGGATGCCCAAGGATCCAAATGCTTTTAGCACAGAGATAAAATTTTACCGTGTCATTTCAGGAGCTCCTGCGACGCGACGGCAGCCGCATCCTTGGCAGTAAACGTTGTGCCCGGCCAGGCGCTGCCTGCACTGGGGTGCCCGGGGCCCTATGCGCCACATCTGCCTAAGTGTCTGCTCTAGTGCAGAGATCACTGCTTATTAAAAAGGAGGAATTACAGCAAGTGCCAAGCGCTTTAAGGCTCAGCTCCCACAAAGCCACTGACCCCGGTCCCTGTGCTGGGCTGAGCAGGGCCGGAGCCACAGCGGCTGCAGCGGTGCCAGCACCACGGCGCAGCACGTGCAGCTCCAGCTCCATGCTAAATATTTAGCCAAGAAAACAAGCTGCCTAGGTGCTTATTTTGACAATCTGAGTTAGATATTTATATAAACTAATTACCTGTGTGTTGACTGCTAGGCAGGTAAATAGTGCATGTTTTATTTATGTAGCAGATTGTTTTTGCGTGCTGACGGCGCGGAGCGCTGAGCCTCGTGCCCCTGTGCCTGGCGCTCCTCTGTGTTCCTGCTCCCATGGCCGCATGTCTGGGTGGCACCGCGGCTGTCGGGGTCCTGGTGCCCGTGCGAGCTCCTTGGGGATGCTCCCTGTCTGTGGTGCTGTCAGGATGCGCCCGGCCGCGGTGCAGGCTCCGGGGTAGCGGCCGTGTTTTTGGAGACCTGTCCTGTCCTTGGCATGACCAGTGAGGGCAAAGGCAGAGCGGGCAGGTCCAAGGGGGCTGCGGGGACCAGGGGACCTCAGGCTCTGCTGCCATCCCTGTGTCACTGCGAGTGACAAGCTGGAATCCTGTTAAAGCTGCCAAGACAGAAGTGGAGGCACCTCCAGATGCCTCCCTGCTGTCCTGCCCTGCTGAGCTCCACCAGCCCCTGAGCTGTGGGACTTGTTCCTGCTGCATCCCAAGCTCCTGTTCTGGGCGCACTGGCTTCCAGCTGAATCCTGCACTCACAATAACCATGCCCCGGCACAGGAGCACTAATGGGGATGTGGCGGGGTGGTGCAATATGTAATTCTGCCAGAATTTACTGTCAATAAATGCCCATTTATTGTGAAAGCGTTAAATCAACTAGCATAAATCGTCCCTAAGGATAGATATTACATCTTCTCTATACTTACCAGTTGACAGGGATTTCCATTAGAACCCTATTATTTTTTCTGCCATTCTTCTTCCCACATGAAGTTTCAGACTGAATGGAAATTTGATGTGTCCTGTCTCAGCGCAAGGCAAGTTTTATTTGTGAACAAGTTTGTGCAGAATTTCCAGAACAACTCATTCTGCCGGTTTTATGGGATTCTGCCCACAAACAATAGCAGAGATTTGTGGGAGTTATTTTGCCAGACAGCTTGAATTTATAAATAAGAAGGGCTGGGCTGTAATGCACACAGCAGTTGTACCGGTACCAGGAGTAATTTCTGGGATAAGCAGCAGGAGCGGTTCAGGATCGATGAAGGGAAGAGATGCAGCAGGTGCCAGTTCTGTTTGCTACGGATTCACAGCACGGGAGCTTCCCGGCGTCACCCGTGTGCCCAAAGCTGCCCAAATGCCACAGGGCGGTCAGGGTCTGCTGGGGCCGGCTGTGATGATGAGGGAGGCCTTCCTCCGGTTGCCCCTCTGCCACGCGGACGGGCTGGCGCTGGGAGTTGCTGCTCCGGCTCCATGTTTGCAGGTGGCGATCAGGGCCGGGCCAGCCGCAGGGCTGGGAAGGAGGCTGCCCGACTGCAGGAGGAGCAGTGAGTGCTGCGGGGCTGAGCGGCCCGGGCGCTCCATGGGGCTGGGTAGCCCATGTGCTCCAAGGGACTGAGTGGGGCCGAGGAACCTGTGTGCTCTGTGGGGCTGGGCAACCCATGGGCTCCACCATACCTGCGGTCCTCGCCCAGGCGCACGGAGCTCCCAGGGACACTGCAGTCCCTGAGCCACCCGCTGCGTATGGCACCAGCTCCCACTCGGGACCTGCTCCGCAGTCCCGCTCGGCCTTTGTCCGTCGCCGCTTCCCTGCATCCCAGCTTGCATGGGTCTGTGCCTGGTGCTCCGCCGGCTCCAGCCCTCCTGGCTGGCACTGCCTTGGCCTCCGCTCCCACCGCAGGAAGGTGCTGTCCTGGTGCAGGGCTTGGGAGCAGCCTGCCCGCCGGGCTGTGAGCGCAGCAGCCCCGTCTGCAGCGGCGCAGCTCCAAGCGCTGTGCGCGCCGAGCGCCCAGGCTCTTGCCCGCGCGCCTTGCGGGGCCTCGCTGCTGCGGCTCCATCTGCTCCCAGTGCCGCCTTTTAATGCTTTATATAAACACTGCTATAAAAAGCAATGACAGGGGGATAAAAAAAAAAAAAGATGCCTTTGTGTGGGGTTTGGGCACTAGCTGTAAATCACCGGCAGGCCGGCTCTGAGCCTCACCTGCCGCCACGCTGCCTTCCGACTGCCTGCTGCCGCGAATCCTGCAGCGCCAGGGAGGACCGTGCAGTCCTGCCCGTTGTGTGCGTTCAGGAGCATTTTACCCCAGCCGGGAAATGCTTTAGTGCTGGCTGGCCCTGGATTTAGACTACTCTGTAGTCTCACAGAACGTGCGGTAGCTTTGGGGGTCTGTCTCCAAACAGAGTGTTTAGAGGAGTGAGGGGTCCGGCCGGCGACAGCGGTGCAGCTCCCGGCGAGCCGCAGCGCAGAGCGCGCGCAGCCCCAGTCTCGCTTACGTGCTCGATGAGCTCCTTGATCATGCCGTTCCACTGCCCCTTGTCGTCCTGCGCGCCGTATTTCCCATCCTCCACGAGGCGGATCTCGTAGCTGAAGCCCAAGATGATGGCCAGCTCCTTGAGCAGGTCGATGCAGTAGCCCTCGAAGCGGTCGTTGCCGAACAGGGCCGTGTCCGACTTGCGGAACATGACGAAGGGCTCCTCCTGCGTGGAAGCAGAGAGCCCGTTGCGGGCCGGGCGCCAGGCCACCGCGGAGCCAGGCGCCGGACGCAGGGAGCCCCGGCCTTGGCACCATGATGCGTGTAGAATGAATTAACTTTGCACGCTGCGGCAGCTAATTAGCAACCTTGTTTACCCCACAAAATTTAATTTGGTCTCTTCTGAGCAGCCAACTGTTTTCCATTTGGTAGGATTTCAGGGAGAAAAATAACCATTTCATGCTCTGGAAATGAGGAGTGCTGGGGACAGGAAGAGGGCCAGGCAGGGCAGTTCGGCGGCGCGGCTGCTGCCCGGTGCCAGTGCCGGTGCCGCAGCAGCGGGGAAGAGGCTGCTGGAATAGCAGGAGGAAGGAGCTGGCCTCGGGCCAGCCCAAGCGCGCCCTTGGATTGGGTCGTTCTTCTCTCTTCCCCCTCGAGCCGATGGACGTGAGAGCAGCCGGGGATGGGACAGGGACCCCGTGGCCCCAGGGAGAGGAGCTGAGCGCGCAGGTCGCTGCCACATCCGCCAGGCGCCCGCAGCCCGTGAGCGTCGCTGCCCTTCACGAGGCACTAGCACCGAGCGCAGCCACCCCGCAGCGAAGCCCGAGGGACAAAACATGGAGGGCACAGATGGAAATGGCCAAACGTGGCGGGCGGGCGCAGGGAGGCGGGGAGGCCGCGAGCGGCTCCGGAGGGCTCCGGGCAGCAGTGCCGGCGCCGCCGCATCCAGAGAGGCCGCAGCTTCGCGGCGCTCGCGGCTCAGCCCAGCCCGCTCCCCCTCGGCTCCGCCACGGAATTAGCGCTTCGCTTAGGGCCCGGCTGCATCTGCGGATCTTCATACAAACACCCGGCTCCAGAGCAGCCATAAAGCGCTATTAATTTTGGGAAGCGCAGTAGGGATTACATGCATATTTAACAGCTGAAGCGCTGAACATTAGGACGCCGCTCGCTTCGGTAATGTATCTGCAGGTCTCAGACATTTCCTAGGGGGTAATTCTGAACTCTGTGAACCACTTATTCACGGACTATTTCACAATTTATTACTGAAAATGGCCAGACATCCAATTCACAAGCTCTCTCGGTTTGCTAATCGATTTCTCAGTGAAGGTGCCCTCAATTTCATAACTTCACAGTTCCCATATTGCTTGGGGAGAGTGGCATTGGCTGCTGGGGCAATATTTCTCTTCCAACAAGTCACTGCAATATGTGCAAAAGGGGGGAAAATAACCTCTCAAGCATTTTTCTTAGAGGTTCCTCCTATGGCTTTTCTGCAATCATTTGCACCAATGCAAAGGCACAAGAGGAAGTTGCAAATGCAAATGAAGCTTAGGGTTGTGTATGAAAATGCAGTTATTGCAAAACTTGTGTCTAAGCACATTTCTCAGCCTTGCCGGCAGCAGAAGCACAGGACAGATGTGGTCTTTGTAGCAACCCCACTGCACACAATTAACAGGAGCTGATATCGCTGTTGCACGTTCTGTAATTCACACGTGCTCATAGGTAGGGCGTGAAAAGGCTGCCTGCAGGAAGCCTGTCGAGGGCAGCCGGCTGCCTCCTAGCTCCACCATTCTGCCAGGAACTCGCGTTGTTCTAAAGCGTGGCATTCCGGAGCACCCGCCTTGTTCCAGAGCACCCGCATTGTTCTGGAGCACTCACATTGTTCTGGAGCACCTATGTTGTTCCAGAGCACTCCAGAGCCCCTGTTCCAGAGCTCTGGCACCCTCACACCAAAGAAGCTCTTCCTCACAAGCAGAGGAGCAAGTGAGAAGCAGAGAGGATGGACGTCCCTGCCTTGCAATTCCTGCTGCCAAACCATGCTCTGAACAGAGACACGGCCTTCCAGGAGGTGCATGGTGAGGGTTGGCAGTGTGCCGGGCTGCCAGTTCCTTGCTCTCTCTGCCCTGAGGCTCCCTGCAAATACGCAGTGTAAAAGGGGCAGAAAGCTGACGTGGGCACAAGCACGTTGAGCGCCGGCCGCAAGCGCTGGTGCTGCTTCCCGTGGCCACGCCACAAGCCCGCGCTGCCTAGTGCAGCCATACACAAACTAATGCCACTCGTCATTTGTCATTAGGTTAGATAAGAATTCATTCTCATCTCATGTCTGCTATCAAATCCAATAGCGAGCGCGTGAACAAAACACAGAGTGACAGAGGGAAGCGGAGGGGACCGGCTAAGTAACCGCGGTCTGCTGGATAACAGCATTTCTGCTAGCTAGTTTATGAATTATGTGCCTAAGAGGAGAGAGAAACACAACTGTCACAGCCACACAAAGGGCTCCGGCTGCTTTCGGCAGGGCTGAGGATATTTCTGTGCGAGGGGGAGATGCTGGCGCATCCCACATCCCAGGGCAGAGCATCCCTGGAGCTCTGCGCCCACAGCCCTGCCAGCCTGTCACCAGTCCCGGGATTGGTACCAGCCTGTCACCAGTCCCGAGATTGGTACCGAGATGGAAGGAAAGGCCTGCAGTCTCCTACCAGGACAGTGGTGACGATCAGGGATCGGTTGCTCAGCGAGTCGGTGACGTTAGGCCCTCGTCCCTTGGAAATTTCCGTGATGTTCAAGCCATCTGATGGGCTCCACACTCCGACCTGGAACAAAGCAAGCAAATGAATCAATACCTGCCTCGCTATGAAGCCTCCTCGCTATGGAGCCACTCTCAGCATCCTGCTGCCCTGGGACAAAGGAGCTGTTTCCCTCATCTACAGGAAACAGAGGCAAATCTGGGATTGCCGCCTTGCATCGGCTGGGAGGAAGGTCTGCATTAGCCCTGCAGTTGCTGCTCGCTGCGCACGCATGCATGTACCAGCCAAGCCGTGTGCTCCCTCGGCAGGATACTGGTTGTGCGAGGAGAGCACAACAGCCATGGGCCGGGGCAGAACGAGCAGCTGGCAGGGGGGTTGCGGCGTGTGAGCGGCCAGAATGCGCTGAAAGGGCAACTCTGGGCAAGGGCAAAATAGCGTGGAAGGGGAGACCCCTGCAGCCCGACCCCCGGGGGCCACCGCTGTTTTATTCATGCCGATTTTTAAGATACTCCAACCAGGGAAGTTGGTTTTACTGCATCCCCAAAAAGAGACTTGGTAATGAGGAATGCTGCTTGGCAAAAAAAACCCTCATAAATTCTAAAAGAATTTCTATGAACTATGTGAAAGGCTCTAAATATTTCAGGTAAAACTCAGGCAATCCTCATGTCTCCCTTCCATCATGGAACAGCTGCAAAGTCAGAAGATTATTGCTGTGCATGGAGAAAGAGGAACAGGAATCCAAGAGATCTCTCAAGTGCAGCAGCTGCGTTTCTTTAGGAGAATGAAATACATGGAACATAAAACTGAATAAATCAGTTTTGAATAATGAAAGAAAAGGAAAAATGTGCATGGAGAGGAGTGTGCGAGTCAGATAGTTGGACTACATGTAATTATGTTTAGTTAATACTGTGGTAATCCCTGGAACATCCAGGAGGTAGAAGGATCAGGAGTTCAATCCTAAAGCTCAACAAACATAAGCTATTATACATAATGCAGCATCCGCCTGGGATTTGTTTGTAGTTTGGCATTTTGTTATTGTAGATTAACTATTGACAGCAGCCTGGCATCAACAGAGATTTGACATCGATGCTTTCAAATCCCTCTAGAGTTGACAGGGAGCTTATTTAAAAAATAATAGTGGGACCAGAGCAACCTGTGACCCGAGAGAGAGGCGGCGCCAAGGGGGATCGTGTCGGGGCTCGGCGGCTTCCCGGCCCGTGTGACCGCGCGAGGAGCAGACAGAGCCGGAGCCCACGTGCGGCTCGAGGGACGCGAGCGCCATGGGGAGCGGCACTGCGGTTGTACCAACACGTGGCGGGGTGCAAACCCTTGCACGCGCCCGGTTGTTCTACCCCGTGGCAGCCAAGCTGGCACAGGCACTTTGCTCTCTTCCTGCTCCTGCAGTAAAACCTAAGCAAGGACACCCACGGGTCCTGCCACAAAGTCTGGGCTGCGTTAGCCCATGCCCTTTCCAAAGCTCAGGCAGTTTTTATGGGAAGAATTCACCCCAGGATGGTGCTGGCAGGAGCCACTGCCTCCTTGGGAGATGCCTGTGTTTTGCCAAGCCCCGGGGAAACGGGACTGGGACTCGGGTGGGGATGGGTCTGTTCCCACCCTGGGCCTGCAGGTGCTGGTGGCTGCTCAGGGTCGTTTTGCCTCCGTTCTCCGTGTCCCAGCTAAGTGCCGCGGGCAGCGTCACAGCTGGAAGGAGCCCACGCGCCGTGCTTCAGGGCCCATGAGTCACGGCCCCGGCATGGAAACAGATCTGAGGAATCCCACAAAGGGAATTCGCCTCCGCGCAGCAGGCGCGGGAGCGGCGGGGCCGGCAGGCAGTGCCGAGCGGATCCGCCGCGCCGGGCTGGCGCCAGTGCCATGTGAGACACCAGCTTTGCCTACCTTTTCCAGCCCATCTTCTTTGAGGCTGACGATGTCCAGGTCAAAGTCCGTGCGCAAACCGCTGGTTTTGTTGAAGACGATCCTTCCTGTCAGCCCTTCCCACTGGGCCTGCGCGGGGGGGAAGGCGGCAGCGCTGTTATGGGGGGCACGAATCGCCCCTGCTCGCTACGGTGCAGTGCGCTCTCCCCAACTCCTGGCCCCCCACAAAGCAGCAGTAATGAACGTTCCCATCGCTGTAACGCTGCCCAGAGCAGGGACACCCGGCGCGCTTGTGCCACGAAGCTGTTTGCTAGCAGCACGGCCAGCATGAACGTGCCGGATCTGAGAGTGCCCGGGGCTACCCCTGCTGTGGGCACTGGGGCCAGCTCCCATCCACCCAGGGAGCGATTCCCGTGTGTGCCCACACAGGGAAAGGAGCTCGTCCCGCCTGGGGCTCTGTGGTGCCAGGCAGGGAAACGGTGGCGGGCACTGCAGTGCCAGCGGCACCACGTGCTGAAAAACGGCGGGTTGCCAGTCGTGCTCGTACCTCCTTTATGAAGTTCATGAAGCGGCCGCCGAACCTCCAGGCTTTGTGCCGGTGGCACTGCAGGGAGTTGACGGTCATCTGCGGGGCGCGCTGGTAGCACACGGAGACGATGTGAACGGCATCGTAGAGCAGGGCAGCATCTGTCTAAAATGAAGGGGATCCGCATTGGTGTGGAGGACGGCTCCCTGGCCGCGGGGCTCCGCACAGCAGGATGCAGCCCTGCCACGGGATGGCCCCCGTGCGGCACAGCCAGCCCGTGCCCCTCTGCTCTGTGCCTCTTTAGCCCAAAAGACTGTAATTGTCTTTTAAAAGCCAGCCTGCACAGGTGGCATGTGTGTGGGGTGGCTCTGCAGGGTGTTTCCAATGCATTTGGCAGGCCACGCGTGCAGCGGCTGGCCAGCCAGAGGCTCCCGCCTCCCCGCGCCTGGCAGAGCTGCTCGTACCATCATGACGCCGTCCAGCAGGCCCAGCTCCGCCTTGGGTGCTGCCTGGAGCCGCTCCATGGACCACTTCTCCACGATGGAGGCCACGTGCGGGTTCTCCACGTTGAGGATGCGGAAGCCGGTCAGGTTCACTCCGGAGTAGCGGTATGGCTCTAGGTCTAATGCATAAAGATCCTTCAAAGAGAGAAACCAGTTTCAACATTTTGCCTAGCTTGGCTTTGCCTTTGCTGTGTGTTTATGAGTTTGTGTGGGGCCGGGGCAGGGACGGTGCCTGACAGGGACACGGGGTGACTCCCCTTGCAGCCCTGAGGCGCTGCCTCCCATGCGGGCTGAGCAGCAGGAGCGGCGGCAGCACGGAGGCTGTGGCCAGAGCAGTGGTGCAGCTGTAACACTGAGAGCAGTGGTGCAGGTGTAACAGTGCAGGTGCAGGTGTAACAGTGAGAGTAATGGTGCGGGTGTAACAGCACAGTAAAACAGTGAGCGCAGTTGTACAGGTGTAGCAGTGAATGCAGTGGTGCAGATGTAACGATGAATGCAATGGTACAGGTTTAACGGTGAGTGCAATGGTACAGCTGTAATGGTGAGCGGAATGGCACAGTGTAGCAGTGAGCGCAGCGGCACGGCCACAGCGGCAGCAACGAAGCTGGCCTCGGAGGCCGTGCGTTGGCGCAGGGGGAGGCCCTGCAGCCCTTCTGCCCTGCGCCAGCTGGGGCAGCAGGCGCCAGGGACAGCCCTGGCTTTGCAGGGGCTCCGTCCTGCAGCCCCAGGAGCAGGGAGCCCAGCGGGGCTGTCGCTGCTCGGGCTCTGTCGGCCGCAGCAGCCGCATGCATCAGCCACGGGCAAGCAAGGGCTTCTCCTCTCGGTTGGAAGCTACAAGATAAGGCCTTTCATGTTGCAGGCGGCCTTGCTGCCGAGCAGTGTTGAAGCATTTCATGCCAAGTGTTGATGCACTGTACTCAGTATTGACTAGGGACCTTTTAGAAACATTCAGTATAACATAATAGACTAATTCATTAGCACCCCATGGGTCTAGTACTGTAGACGCTGAAGCACATGCATTGCAAGCTAGGAAAACATCGCCTTAAGGAATGACAGATTAAAATATCTTTCCCAAGATATAACTGTTATTTCAGGAAAGTGGCATTAATTGTGATTGCTTATCTATTAATTTATTATAATTCTTTTTTTTTTCCACCTCCAGGCTGTACCTACACATGAAATGTACTCTGGGCTCAGCTGGGGCTGATTAATAGGAGGTTATCTGGGAAATGCTTAAAGCTGCCTGGAATAGATAATGGCAGCAGGGGTAATTAAAATGTCTTTTGCATTTGAAAAATAAATGTTGCAGTTTTTAAGGGTTAGTTTAGTCTGTTTCTTTCCTGAAGGCAAAAAGATAAATTGGATTTTCAAAATCGCACAGAATTCAGCAGAATACTAGACAATAGCATCCCACATGGAAATAAAAGTGGCACGCCAAAGCCTCGCAACCAAAACACCTCCCAGAGTCGCGGCAGTCGTGGCCCATGTTAGACTGAGGTAGTTTCCAGCTGGGCTCTCCCCATGCAAGCCGGAGCGTGGTGCCCCCAGCAGAGGTGGGTTTCGGGCGACCCGCGTGCGCCAGCCCCGCGTGGAGACGGCCGGAGCCAGGCAGGGCGCCCCGTGTCCCCCCATGCCCCCGGCTCGGATACTCTACCAGCGTGGTGAAGATGAAGTGGTAGTACTCGGTCATCATCCCCATCGCCATGGCCTGCAGGAGACGGGGACAGGAGGTCAGCACAAGGGACCCCAGAGCAGGGCAGCACATCCCACATGGCCAGAGAGGAGCCCGTGGTGCCCGGCAGCGACTCGGGGCGCTCGGCAGCGCTCTAAGCACCTGCCTGGACCCAGCATCACCCGCAGGGCGGTTCCATTGCCCTCTGTGACGCTCCGGCATCGCCGTCGGACCCGCCGCTCTGCGGGAGGACGCACGGCTGCCTGCCTTCATGCTGGCCTAGGGAGCCAGGGAAAAGCTTTAACTGACAGGAAGAGAGCTCTAAGGGCCCTCTGGAAGGATCTGTTTCCCTTGGCTTTCTGTTTGGTTTTGCTGCAATTACTAGGTTCAGAATTGGCTTCGAGGAAGAAAGCGGCAGTTTGAAAAGAAACGGCATGGCAAAAAACATGGGAAAAAGAAAACATCCGGATGCTGTCACTGTAGTGCTACAGCATAGAGGGGTTTGTGGCCAGGAGTCCCCCCGGGCAGGGCTATCCGTGGATGTGGCAGCGCGGGGCCTCTCCGGACCAGCCCCGCGTGCGGGCGCCGCGGCCACGACTCGGGGTCCTGGCACGGGGCCGTGCACAGTGCAGAACCAGTCGCGAGAGGCAGAAGCACAAGCCTCTGATTCACGAGGTGCTGCTGATTCCAGAGCTGACTCATCTCTGGGCGCATAAAGGTCCAGTCTTGCTGTAAGGAGCAAACGCCAACTTCCCAGCCCTTGCAGCCTGCGCGTGGAATACATCTGGGTTTGCAGGGGGATAAATATAAATGATGAGGCTGTTGGATAAGCCCCGGGCAGGCTCTGGAGGAGAGGGGAACTCCGTAAAGCTGAGGCAGGCACAGCGGCACGGTGCAGAGAGCAGCAGGGCGCAGGAGCAGCTGTCGGAGGAAGAGGGGAGCCAGGAACTTGAGAACAGAGGGAAAACGTTAAAGACTGACAGGGAGTGAACGGGCTAGAGAAACCTGGATAATGTGGGAAGGTCTTCTGAGCAGGCCCAGCACTTCTGTAAGAGTTTGCTGAAGTGATTTATTTGTGCAGAAGGGTAAAGGAAGGAATTGTTTGGTACTGCAGTCACTCCGTGAAAGCTGGCCTTGCGGAATAGGTGACCCTGCCGCTTGCAGCCCTTCCTGCCCCAGGCCATGTCAGGGCTCGTGTGTCACGGACAAACACTAACCCAGATGCTCCTCGCGCCTTCGGTAGAGTGTTACATTAAATAACATTATTTTAGTGCAAAAAATAAATGACATTATTTTCCTGAGCAGAACTGCACCATCTAATGCTGCAGAACAGAAATCCGCATGCTGGGTCGTGCAGGAAGCCGTGCTCAGAGATGCAGCCCGAAGGGCTCAGGGAACTCTCTCTCCTCTCGTCCTGCTCTCCTCCATCCCCCCTGGTCTGTGTGCAGCCATGGGCAGAGCAGATGGTGCCAGAAACTGCAATAAACCGTGTGATGAGTGAAGATGAGAGGAATAACGGGCAAGGGTCGGTGCTGCCTCTGCCCGGCGCTTGGAGCTACCCCGAAGCCACTCTGTGGCCGCCTGCGGGTCCGGTCCGTATCCTGCTGAGTGTGCTGGCGTGGTCAGCATTCCCTGCGGGAGCCGCGTCCTCTGCATCCCGTCCTGCGTCCTGCCGATCTCCATGGCCCCGGGCACGGGGAGGCAGCCCCGTTGAGAAGGGCCGGCGGCAGAGCTAGGGCGGACGGGAAGAGGCCGATCCGTGGAAAATCACTGACATCTGGCTTAGAGTCCAAGAACTACACGCAGTGCTGGGGAGCGCTCACAGGACGCCCACGTGCGCTGCGCCCTTCCAGGCATCAGGGCACACGGGCACGGGAGGGAAAGGGATGCTCCAGATCACACGCAGGAAAAGCAGGAGGAGCCACAGGGTCCTGGGCACAGGGACTTCTTGCTACCTCCAGGTTACCGATGAGGGCTGTGTTTTCTGCACAAGTCCAGTAGCATCCTTAAAAAATGCAATTCAGTGACAAGTGCAGGGTTGGATGACAGCGGGTGGGCAGGCTTGGTGCCTACCTGCCTCCTAGCCATGTCGGTGCTCCAGCGGGCACTGCCAAAGCAGTAGGACACCAAGGCACCCGGGTTTGGTGCTTCTCCGTGGTGCTGTTGAGCTGTGCCCCTAATCCTCAGTGTGGTAATTTTTTAGTGCCTAGAGGTGCCACCGTCACCTTCTCCTAAGGTGGCCTCTTGTTTCCAGGTGCTGCCAGGTCTAAACCTGCAGTTACGTGCTGGGCATTTAGTGCAGCTGTGAAGGCCGACACCAAGCGGCAGGGCTGCCCTGTCCCCCTGGGTCCCCGGCTACCCCGGCATCTCCGTGTGTCCCCATGCCCGTCCCCATGCCCGTCCCGGCCACCTCACCTGCTTGAGGATCTGAGCCGCCATCACGTGGCTGCAGTCGAAGATGATGCGGAACTCGCGGCCCCGCTTCATCTCCTTGAGCAGCGGCCGTGCGTCGTCCGAGTCCAGCGGGAGCTGGCGGATCTTCAGGCGGATGTTGTAGCGAGACGGGGCCATGATGAGCTCCTGCAGCCGGATGAGGCCTGCAGGCAGAGACGAGGCCGCGGCGTTGCGGGCTCTGCCCTTGTGCCCTGCTTGCAGCTGCATCTTCCTCATGTTATTTATGGAATGCCGTGAGATTCCTCCCTCCCGCCAATGACCAGTCTTAAAGATATCAAAGCAAAGCTGTCATCTGTCAATCACTTTAAAAACCCAGCTATTTTGAGAGCAGCTTTCCTTAGGCAGAATGGCTTTTTCTGGCATTTCCCTTCTCCTCCACATCCAGCCAAAACAGACCACAGGTCCCCATGTGACTTAGAGCAGCCCTAATCTCTGACATCCCAGGAATCACGACACATTTTCTTAAGAAAATGCACTACAGGAAGGGACAGAGTGTGCTAACCAGCTGTACAATAAATTAAAATCCACGGTATTTGCCATGCACAAGAGCAAAAGAAAAGAAGCAAAATTTACTTTGAGCTGTGAACAGAATGGTCTGCAATGGCTGCTTAATCAGCACCCAGAAATGTCCTGCTCCCTTAGACCCAATTCCCGTGCAGAGGGTGCAGAGCTCTGCTGGATGCACCGAGTGGGAGCTGCTGGGATCTAGCGTTGTGGGAAGAAACCCAGCAGGAGCCTGGTGCAAGGAGGAGCGGGGACTGCAGCGTGTCCCTGGGCACCGCAGAAGAAACGCATTAGAATATGCCATGAAGGGAACATACTGTGACCCACATTAGCAGAACAGGAGTGTCAGGCTGCATTTTCATCAGCCCTCCCCTGAAGAAAGCGCTCGGTGCTGGGGAATGGGCTCGGACAGGGTCCCCAATGCGCCTTTTGTTAGGGGGCTGTTTTCGGTCTATGGCGCTGTGCAGTGCTCGGCTTCACTTCACTGTTAATGCCCTTTACGTGGAGGTCTCTGTCAGCTCCATTTTATTAGCCAGAATTTGCCACTATTAGCCAGAAAACAAGGGCATTCCCAAACGGCTTTTGCTTTTAGCTGGGAGAGCTGCAACCCGGGCGCAGGGCAGCGGCACCCACCTGTGCTGTCGTCGTAAACCACGGTGGCCGACCGCCATTTGAGATACTGCACCAGGTCCAGGATGGCGTGGCTCAGCGAGGCGTAGTCGGGGTACAGGTTCACGTAGAAGGTGTCCTTATTATCCAGGGGGTGGTGCTTCCATCGCAGCTGGATGTGGGGCACCTCCAGCGCGTTGCAGATGGACTGGACGGCGTTGGTGCAGGAGCCCTGCGAGGGCCCGAAGATGGCGACGACGCCGAGTGCCAGCTGGTCGCAGGCTGCGGAGCGGAGCAGGGCGGCCAGGCCGTCAGCGGGGAGGCCACGGGGCCGCGGCGGCGCCGCGCGCGATCACCTCTTACCTTTCTTGGTGGCCTCGAAGCTGTCATGGAAGTGAATCCTCTGGATGTCGTAGGTGAGCGTGGTGTTGGGCAGCAGCGTCCTGTTCCTGTTGATGATGTTGGCGGAGAACCGGAACGCTTGCTCCTCAGCGCTCATGAGCTGCGCGTTGGGGCCATCCGCGTACTCGAAGATGCCTCCTGAAAGACAGGGCCAGGATGGGCGGCATTAAGCCTTGCCGGGCTGCGTTAAGCCTGGCCGGGTTAAGCCTTGCCAGGCTACGCTTTGACACGTGCCGGCCGTGCCCGGCCCTCCCGGACCTTGTGGCATGCGCCGAGGCCGCTCGCCATCCCTAGTGCCGCTTCCAAAGACCTTCCTCAGGTTGTGTTACCCGAGCTCTGAATAAGCCCAGCACAGGCGCCTCAATTCGCCTCCCCTGCAGCCTCTTTGCTCAGGAACGCAGGTCGTCAGCGCCGTGGCACCTCGTGGGGCAGCGCGCTCGCATCACGTTGTGTCGCCATCCTTGGCTCCGTGTCTCTGAGTCGTGTCCTCTGTTCCCCATGGCGGCCTTGCTAATTGAAGTGACTCAGTGCATGCGTAAATTATGTAATTGTCTATTCTTGCTGTCGAGACGCGGGAACAATCTTGTGCTACTAGCAGAACCACGGGAAGACACGCACACCTTGTTTTGTCTTATTAGAAAGCAACCCCAAATTAATTGATGAGTGAGATAAGCAAGTGCAATTGGTAACAGATGGTCTCTGGGTTCATTAGCAGAAAGAAAATCTTCCTCTTCAATTTAAGGTAGCCCTAAAATGCTTTGTTATAGACACCAGATGTCTCGTCAGCGCTGCCGCGTTCAGGCAGCTGCAGGAACCAACCGCGTCGCTCTGCCCGCGTCCGCGACGGGCTCGGAGGGATCAGGGTGGGACAGGGCAGGGGATGTTCCCGCTTTCCGCTGCGGCTCCCGCACCCCGGCCAGTCTCTTCCCTCCTCTTGTCTTGCAAACTTTGTGCCTCGCCGGCCCCAGCCGCAAAGGGAGTGTGTCATTAATATACACCCATAAACATCCAAAGGAAAAACCCAGCCAAAATCCAAGTAAGCATTTGAATTATTCACGGCGTGTCTGCTAGAGAAAAGGTATTACTAGTGATAACATGGGTTAGATGGGGAGAGAAAGGCGCTGAATGCTCATTCTGCAGGTGCTGCTCAGTGCCTTGTCATCTTCCACAAATCACCTGTCACCAGGTTTTCACTCTAGAATGCTTAAAAAAGTAGGCAGGAGCCCAGCACAATTGTCCCAGTGCCTGGTCCTCCCTGGATTGTGCCCGAATGCTCAGTTATTGATCAGCACAAGGAAAATTATCCCTCATAAAGGTTGGCACCACAGTCTGAATGCCTTGGAGCAGGGAAAGTTCCCGTAGAAATTACGCCAGAAACCAGGAGCAGACACCAAATGTGCGTGAGCTTCGCCCTTGTCCTTGTGCTGCACAGGACACTTGGGAAAGGAGCTCTGTTCCCAGCAGCCTGCTGGAAAACCTGCGCTCAAGGCGCATGGATGTGTCCGGAACCGCTTGTGTCTCCGGTAGGAAGGACGGGATGAGCATTGGGGACAGGATGGGCATTGGGGACAGGATGGGGTTGGTGCCAAGCACGCTGCCATCGCAGCCCCTGTCCGGGCACAGCAGGTCTCTCTGGAGAGAGGAAGACTCTCCGTGAGGAAAAGGGCCGCGCGACGGCCCTCGGCAGCGCCGCCAGCCCCGCTCTTGGCGCGGCCGCGCTCCTTCAGCGCCTTTGTTGCCATCATTAGTTAAAGAGCCTAATAACTGGCTTGAAACAACTGATTAATGCATAATCTCCATCATGATTACATGCCATAGCTGGCATTAATTTGAAAAGCCGGCTAATTATGAAAATAATTGTTGCAGCTTTTCCATTTTAGCAAAATGGAGACTGTGGGCTGGGCCGTGGCGAGGAGGAGGGGGCGGCAGGTACCTGTCCAGGACAGGAGCGCAGGAGAGCAGCGGGAGCCATCGATGCACAGCGAGGGCCACGGCCAAAGGGGTTCCCACACTGGGAGAACCCACAGGCACCCACGAGCACCTGTGAGCACCCATGAGCATCCATGAGCACATGGCAGCACTGCGCGTACCCAGGAGCACCCACGAGCACTCATGAGCACCTAGAAGCACCCACTCACCTGTGAGCACCTGCGAGCACCCATGTACACCTGGGAGCACCCACACACCATCATGAGCACCCATGAGCACTCACACAGCCCTGGGAGCACCCGGAGCACCGGTCCCCAGCCCACCCCCGTTCCTCTTTGCCGAGCCTGGCTCTGCTGGCAACAACCTTACCAGCAGTTCGCTCTTATAAAAATATAGGAAGTCAATGGGCAATAAAAAGTCAACAGTGAAACGGTCCCTGCTTTTATATCCCGTCTATAAACAAGCTTTAACCGAGACACTAAAGCGTGGCCCTGGAGCCCAGGTGCTGGCGCGTGCTGCACGAGAGGCTGCAGGACAGGATCAGGATGGGGAGACGCTGCCGGCGCAGGCGGCAGGATGGGACACTAAGTCACCGAGTGTTAGCAGTCAAAAACAATGTTTCCTCAATTACTATGTTGCTTTAGAGCGAGCTAATTGCTCTCCAGAGAATGTCAATCAGCAAATGAGAGGAAAGCGCACTCACTGGAGCAGGCTCACATCTTACTATTTTATATTTTTATCATCATTGGAGCTGCTGTGGAAGTGGGGATTTTTCAAAATTCAAAATGCAAATCTAGAGCAAATCTGAAAGGACTCTGAGGTCTCAAATCAGAGAGGCGATAGCGGCCCCGGCGTGCGGTGGGAGGAAGGGGACGCGGGAGCCTCATGCCCTGCCAGAGCAGCCGTCAGGTCGGACGGGACCCAGCGAAGAGCAAAGGCGCCAGGCGGAGGAGAGCAGCCGCCTGCAGCCCGGGACAGCTCTGCTCCCTGGTGCTCAGGAAAGACCCGAGCGGGGCCGGCTCCTGGGCTCCGGTCCTGGCTGCGCTCCCAGCCCTGCTCCTCTCCCGTGCAATCCGCCCCTTTGCAGCTTTGCAGAGCGCTGAGTTAAGCCGCTCAAGGTATTTTAAATTTTGTTTTCTCCTCCCTTCCCCTGTTTAACAAAACAAACAGCTTCGTTCACGGGAGGAAATTTTCAGCAGCACTTGGGTTGTGATCTCCTGTCTTCTACTCCTTGCAAAATCACGGAGTTATTTAGCTTTGAAGAACAAACCATTTCTGATAACACTTTCCTCTCCCCCGCTGACAGTGTTGTTAACACATTTAGACAGCTTTCTGACAGTCACTTTCCATGTGACATCCTGGCAGAAGCGCTGGTTGTGAAATAGCTTGTTCAGAGGCTGGAGCCGGCCAGGGTTCCCCCGCGACTCCCGCGCCGGCCCCCTGGGCACCGGTGCCCAAAATTCCATGTCCTTTACGGATGGGTTTTATTGTTTGCTGGGACGGAAGGTTAAGCTGTAGGTTGATCCACTCCAGAGTGTGCGTTCCCAAGAGACAGTGTCTCTTCTTTTTCCATTTTGACATTAAATATGCAAAATCTTATTTCATTTGCACTGTATCAGGTACTTCATGTCACAAGGGGTGACACTCTTCTCTATGTGTAAGCTGTTTAACAGATGAGCAGTCAAGTGGCAAAGAAATACATTATTAATGTTTCTGGTTAAATTAACTGATTAAAAACACCGTAGGTAAAATGTCCGTATCAGCACTTTGCTCGCAGTAAATGAGAAATTAATGGAATAAGGCGGCTTGCTTTTTAATGAAAAGTAGATAGGGATGGTCTGAAAGGGCAGGGCGGCTTCACAGGAGAGTGCGACTGTGGCACATGTCGGGTTCAGCCGAGCATCCCACCTCCTCAGAGCAGGGATGGGGCAGGATACACCGGGAACTCCCCACGGGACCTGGGCCGGGCCCCGTGTCCGGCTGTCCCATGTGCGGCTGTGCCGAGTGCAGCTGTGCCGTGTCTGGCTGTGCCCTTGTCCGGCTGTGCTGTGTTCGGCTGTGCCGAGTGCGGCTGTGCCCTGTGCCCAGCTGTGCCGTGTTCGGCTGTGCCCATGTGCAGCTGTGCCCGTGTGCGGCTGTGCCCTTGTCCAGCTGTGCCGTGTTCGGCTGTGCCGAGTGTGGCTGTGCCCCGTGTCTGACTGTGCCGTGTTCGGCTGTGCCATGTCTCCGCACTCGCCCACCCGTCCGGGGCCGCTGGCAGCTCCTGGAGAGCTCAGCTCCGCACGGGGTCTCCGCGCTCCGGAGCAGCCGCTGCCATCCTGCCGGCCCCGGAGCCGAGCGGGAGCCGCGGCCGCCGCGCAGCCCCGACCGGGGAGCCCATCAAAGCGCTAAGCTGAGATCAAAGGCCGTCAGCACTGCTACAACAGAAATAAATTAAGTTAGCAACAGATTTGTTAATGATATTTACATTTCTAATTTGCATAATACATGATTAAAATGTAATGGGCATTTTTACTTTTTAAGCAGCCTCAATTAATTAAAAAAAAAGCCGCATCATAATCTCCTAGGAGCCGATTCCCATCAAGATAAGGGCGACGAAAATGCCAAGAAACTCGGTTTGCAAAGCAGCAGATCATTCTGCAGCTGGGCTCCCTGCAAGGCACCAGGGCACTGAGCCTTGGCCACTGGTGACGGACTGGGACACCCGAGGACAAACTGTGCCGGCAGGCCCGGTGGTGCCAGGGGCATCCGAGTCTGCCGCTGGTGCCGGGATGGCTCCCCTGGGCTCCCGCACAGCCTTTAAGGGGACTGGTTTCTCTGGGAAAAGCCACCCTGCAAACTTTGCTGTGTGCGCTGGGGTTGCTTTTAGAGGGAACTACCCCAATGCCGACCCTTCCTGTGATTAATTAGCAGGACAGGTCTCCTCTGGCCTGGTTGCCGCAGCAGGGCCGGCACGTGGGGTTGCCTCCTGCCTCTGCTTTAGGGCAGCTCCGCTCGGGCACAGAGCCACGTTTGCTGACGTTCCCGGCCTGGCCAGGCCGCTTCCGCGGTGCTCGGTGCCGCTTGGCCCTTCATCCCGCCAAGCGCCGGGGCGGGTGGCAGCCGCCGCGCCAAGCCCTGCTGCAGATTGTATCCTGGCTCTGGAAGCCCAGCAAGCTTGTCCCGGTTATCCCTGATAGCAGAATAAATGAGGCACGCTCGCATGTCGC